ATTGAATTTAGGGAAAATTTGTCTGGCACCCCTGTAATTTCCATTATTTTGTGTTGCGCCCCTCCGATGGCCCACTTACCCTGTCGTGCCCCTCTGACCACAATTCAAATTTCCCATAAGACCCCAGCGGAACGAACCCCATAGGGTGCTGATTCTGGGCACCTGGGAGGCCCTTACACCTCAAATTGTGGAGGCGCCAAACGAAAACGAGACCTACCGCATGATTGAATTTAGGGAAAGTTTATCTTGCACCCCTATAATTTCCATTATTTTGTGTTACACCCCTCCGATGGCCCACTTACCCTGTCGTGCCCCTCTGCCCACGATTCAAATTTCCCATAAAACCCCGGCGGAACGAACCCCATAGGGTGCTGATTCTGGGCGCCTGGGAGGCGCTAACACCTCAAATTGTGGAGGCGCCAAACGAAAACAAGACCTACCGCATGATTGAATTTAGGGAAAATTTGTCTGGCACCCCTACAATTTCTATTATTTTGTGTTGCGCCCCTCCGATGGCCCACTTACCCTGTCGTGCCCCTCTGACCACGATTCGAATTTCCCATAAAACCCCGGCGGAACGAACCCCACAGGGTGCTGATTCTGGGCACCTGGGAGGCCCTGACACCTCAAATTGCGGAGGCGCCAAACGAAAACGAGACCTACCACATGATTGAATTTACAAAAAATTTGTCTGATACCCCTGTAATTTCCATTACTTTGTGTTGCGCCCCTCCGACGGCCCACTTACCCTATCGTGCCCCTCTGACCACGATTCAAATTTCCCATAAAACCCCGGCGGAATGAACCTCATAGGGTGCTGATTCTGGGCACCTGGGAGGCCCTCACACCTCAAATTGTGGAGGCGCTAAACGAAAACGAGACCTACCGCATGATTGAATTTAGGGAAAATTTGTCTGGCCCCCCTGTAATTTCCATTATTTTGTGTTGCGCCCCTCCGACGGCCCACTTACCCTATCGTGCCCCTCTGAACATGGTTCAAATTTCCCATAAAACCCCGGTGGAATGAGCCCCATAGGGTGCTGATTCTGGGCACCTGGGAGGCCCTGACACCTCAAATTGCGGAAGCGCCAAACGAAAATGAGACCTACCGCATGATTGAAGTTAGGGAAAATTTGTCTGGCACCCCTGTAATTTCCATTATTTTGTGTTGCGCCCCTCCGACGGCCCACTTACCCTATCGTGCCCCTCTGACCATGGTTCAAATTTCCCATAAAACCCCGGCGGAATGAGCCCCATAAGGTGCTGATTCTGGGCACCTGGGAGGCCCTGACACCTCAAATTGCGGAGGCGCCAAACGAAAACGGGACCTACCACATGATTGAATTTACAAAAAATTTGTCTGATACCCCTGTAATTTCCATTACTTTGTGTTGCGCCCCTCCGACGGCCCACTTACCCTGTCGTACCCCTCTGACCACGGTTCAAATTTCCCATAAGACCCCGGCGGAATCAGCCCCATAGGGTGCTGATTCTGGGCATCTGGGAGGCCCTGACACCTCAAATTGCGGAGGCGCCAAACGAAAACGAGACCTACCGCATGATTGAATTTACGGAAAATTTGTCTAACACCCCTGTAATTTCCATTACTTTGTGTTGCGCCCCTCCGACGGTCCACTTACCCTGTCGTGCCCCTCTAACCACGGTTGAAATTTCCCATAAAACCCCAGCGTCGGGTGGTCCTGAAATATTTTTGTTATGCCCCTACCGCTACCCATTCAAAATTTGCAGTATGCCTCTGCTGGATAGCCAGTGAGTACCAACGCCAAAATTTTCCATATGCCCCTATCGGTAGGGTGCAGGTTTTCAATGCACCTTTATGGCTACACACATGGCAGCCACTTCATTTCTCTCTCTCTCTCTCTCTCTCTCTCTTTTTTTTTTTTTTTTTTTTTTTTTTTTTTTTTTTTTTTTTTTTTTTTTTTTTTTTTTTTTTTTTTTTTTTTTTTTTTTTTTTTTTTTTTTTTTTTTTTTTTTTTTTTTTTTTTTTTTTTTTTGTGTGTGTGTGTGTGTGTGTGTGTGTGTCTCACACACACACACACACACACGGTCATTTTGTGAAGCAGTGCCACAAAAATCACATGCTTCAAATCCGAATTTTTCGCGCGAGGGCATGATGGAAAGATGTATGTCACTGGTGAGGGCATATTGCACAGGGACCGGGGAAATAAAACTGGTCGTCCAGTAAAGGCACCGCGGAAAGTTCAGCCCCTTACTGACAGAGGCGCGTAGGAAAGTTCAGAGGCCTCAGGGGCACGACAGGGTAAGAGGGCCGTCGGAAGGGCGCGACACAAAATAATAGAAATTACAGAGGCGCTAGACAAATTTTCCTTTGAATTTATCAACGGCGAGCCCCTCAAATTGTGGAGGCGCGAAACAAAAACGAGACCGCACGATTGAATTTATCAATGGCGCGCCCATAGTTTGATGTTTCGGCCTCTTTTTTTTTTTTTTTTTTAGGGTGTTGTAGAGGTCGGTTTCTGGACCCACGACAAGTACCTATCTACAGTCAACAACTAATTTATGGGACGCATTCCATCCCATCCTATCTTGGAGGATCCCCCTCAGACATC